CCCACTGGATTTCATTCTAAATTTTGCTATGATTTCTGTAAATAAAGAATGTAGAATTATAATGGCTGAGTATTTGATCCTTCATACATCAAAAAAAATACAAAACTAAGGGATAAACAAATAAAAAAACAGATTTGAAAAAAGAAAAGGCTCAGGGAAAAAAAAGAGTGAAAGTGTAAGAAAGAAAGAGGACAAGAAGGAAAACTGAAAAAGAATGACTTCCAACTTTCTTTGGTATAGATATAAATAAAAAAATATATCAAACTCTTACTTTAAGACTAACATTTGTCTACATTATTTCCATAATCCCTTATTTAATCATCAAAGCCCAGATCAACTTTTAATTTCAGTTTCTCACAAAAAGTCCAGTAATGATTCATATTGTTTTAATCACTATTTGTTAATGAAAACATAACTGATTTATTTACTTGCACCAAACTCTAAATAAAACAGGAATGGAAAATCCTAAACTAGTGTAGACCCATGCTTCTCAACTTTGGCAACTTTAAGGTGCATGGACTTCAATTCCCAGAATTCCCCAGGCATATATAAAACAACCAGTTGGAGCAATAGCACAGATTATTTGGGTGACCTTAAATCAGTGAGGTACCGTTGGTCCTTACCTTATGACCACAATGGAGCCCAAAATTTATGTTGCTAAGTGAAATGTTTAAGTGAGTTTTGCTCCATTTTATGACCTCTCTTGCCATAGTTGTTAAGTGAATCACTGCAGTTGTTAAATTAGTAACAAGGTTGTTAAGTGAAACTGGCTTCCCCCTTGATTTTGCTTGCTAGAAGGTTGCAAAAGGTGATTGCGTGACCTCAAGACACCACAACGATGATCATATACATGCCAGTTGCCAAGTATCTGAATTTTGATCACACGACCACAAGGATGCTGCAAAGGTCATAAGTGTGAAAAACAGTCAGAAGTTCCATTTTTGAATACTGTTGTAGCTTTGAAAGGTCACTAAGCAAATGGTTGTAAACTGAGAACTACCTGTATAAGGATTTTGTTATGACAGTTCTGCCAGTTTGAAACTATATGTGAATATATATACTTGTTATCTACTATAGCTGTGGTTCCTAATTTTAGGAACCACACTGGTTCCCAGTGGTCTTCCAGGTGCGCTTCAAGGTGTTGGTTACCACCTTTAAAGCTTTCCATAGCATAGGACCTAGTTATCTTCGAGACCGCCTGCTGCTACTGACAACCTCCCATCGACCCATGCGCTCCCACAGAGAGGGCCTCCTCGGGGTGCCATCAGCCAAACAATGTAGGCTGGTGACCCCCAGGGGGAGGGCCTTCTCTGTGGGGGCACCTACCCTATGGAACCAGCTGCCCCCAGAGATAAGGAGAATCCAAGACCTCGGTGCCTTCCGCCGTGCCCTTAAAACTTTCTTTTTTCAGCAAGCCGGTCGTCCTCCCCCAGTGATGGCGAGACCCAACCGAGGCTCGACAGCCGGGCTGGCTTAACATATTTTTAAATATTTTTAATTGGTTTGTCATTTTAAATTGGGGCCAAATTAATATATATTATTTTAATTGTTTTTAATGTTTGTATTGTATGTTTTTATCTGGCTGTACACCGCCCTGAGTCCCTCGGGAGAAGGCACAGTATATAAATTTGAAATAAAATAAAATAAAATAAAAAATTCAAAAAACCTATTACAGGATAATTCTATTTCTAAGCTCATTTATGTTTGAACAACACAAAGAACTGCAGCATTACAGGGAGTCAAGGTATACCGTGTTTCCCTGAAAATAAGACCCTGTCTTATAGTTTTTTTGAACCCCAAAATAAGTGCTTGGCCTTATTTTCGGGGAGATCTTATTATTTTGGGGTGCGTGGAGAAAACCAGAGGAATTGGTGGGGACCGGCTGTGCATGAATTTAAATATTTTTGGGGAGGGCTTATTTTCAGGGGGGGTTATTTTAGGGCATGCGCTCAAAAGCCCAATTGGGCTTATTATCAGGGGATGTCTTATTTTCAGCGAAACAGGGTATAAAAGAGTGTATTCATATACAGTCTCAAAATGGCGCAAACATTTCTTTTTTTTTTTGTTAGATATTTTTTATTGTTTTAAATCACATGTTCCATTTCTATGTTGACACTTCTGTATGTGTCCATTTTCATTTTTAACCAGACTTAAAACTTTACAAATGGAGCGAATAGGAATAGGCTGGTTGGAAAGATCATTAATGTATGAAGACTTCAAAAGCAATTTGCTGTCTGGGGCACTGTAGGAACTTAAATATTTATTCCCTCTAAACAAAGGGTACTGCCAAAGTGGCTGAACAACTGGATGATTTTAAAGCAACCAGACATTTTAGAGTTACATTTAGGACAAGCGGTTGGCAGTTTTAACTAATGTAGCTCTTGTGTTATTAATAGGATTATGCAAGCATTCGCCCAAGTAGCCTAAATCAAGAGTTGATCTCAGTCATTCATCTTGCCTAATATAATGGTGGGTATCATTTTCAGACTTTCTGGCCAGATGGACAAAGCACTTGGATTCTGAACAATTCTTTTTTTTTTTTTTTTTTTTGCTCCTGTGATTCTTTTTGACTTCAATTCTTTGCACTCAGGCCAAAGTTTTATTTTTATTTTTCTTCCTTCCCTATTCCCACAGTAGTTCCATGATTGCTAAGGAGGGACAGTCTCCTCTTTATGTTCTTTGGTACCCAGTTTTGTCTGCTCCTTACTCTTAACAATTTCTGGCATGATAGAAAATAGGCATTTTTTAAAATGCAGAGCATGCAAACTAGGAATTTATCATAATTCATGATTTGTAGGAATTTGGGCATCAAACTTCCTAATGAAGCCCATATGGTCTAATTGATAATGAGAGAGGGGTAAAAATGTTTTATTATCAATCATGAATTGTAATATTAAATAGTTGTTTTTTACATTTTTGTTTTCAAACTAAAGAGATGAATTCTGGCGAGGTTTGTGCAGTAAAGTACTTTTCAATAATATAACATTTATTCAGTAAATTTGTCTGCTTTATCTAATTCACTAATATTTTTCATGAAAGAATTCTGTTTTTGTTCTGGTGAAGTCTTCCATTACTAATAATAGATGCCGGAAGTGTTGACAAGCCAAAGGAATATGTTAAGGATTCTATTATAAAGAGTTTTGTTTTGTCAATCTGACTTTTGACTGTTATTAAGTTACGTCCTTTCTGAGCTGACAATATTACCTGTGGCAAGTGTTAAATTGTACATCAGAATCCAAACTGAGCCTCCATAAGTTACAACCAATTCCATATCCTTGAAAGTCTTAACTGGAGATACAAATATTGATTTAATTCCTGGGCTTCGTTTAGCTAGAAGTAGATAACTGTCTTTAATTTTGAATCCCTCTATACTGTATATAATAGTCTTTTCTTTGGCATATTTTCTTAGGGATACCAAGCAATGCAAATGGAGACAGGGATTGTAAACCTAAATATAGGGTTGCTACCAAACAGGCTCCTATACTTGTTCACAAGTACTAACTAGGCAATCTAACTAAAAAAATTGGGCGAATTCAGCAAAAACCTGTCTTGCTATTTGCTGATCAGGATTTCTTTTCCGTTATCATAGCAGTCAATTCCGCCCAATTGGGTTACATTAACAAGTGATTCCCTGTAGCATAAATAATTATTAAAATATTTACTTATTTATTCCATTGGAATATAGTTCAAAGCCATATAATTGTTTCTGTTAAGAAAGACAACTTGCAGATATGGTATACATGAAAGTCAAATGTCCCAAAATGCTTTTGGTTTTTCTTTAAAGACGTTTTGCTTCTCATTCTTTGAACACATTTTGCTTCTTTAGCTTATTGGAAAAAGCTCTTTCTCCTGCAGATAAGCCTCATAAAAATATCTGCCCTTTGAAAATGAATGTGAAATACCTTAAATATAAATTTCCGTAATGTTTGGGAGTTTTCTGGGGATCCATTTACACCTCAAATCAACTCTTCTGAGTTTGTCAAGATCAACTTGTATGTTTTCAACATCTTTCTAGCTTCTCTAATACACTCTGAAGGCAACAGGGACAAGACTACCGTATATTCAGTCTGCATGTTTAAGAAACCTAATTTGCTTAAATCCATAGAACAAAACACATTCCTTCCTGGATTTTTACGATGGTTCTCATGCAAAAGATTTATAATAAGAAAAGTTGCATATTTGAGGAGGAAAACTTTTGTTGACATAAAACAGATATTTGAATAACTAGAAAATCTGATAGAGATAGCTTCCACCCTGATGATATTCAGGAAGCTATTGAAGAGCTGGGTATTCTGCCAGATCTTGGGGTAGATTGATTGTGGAGCTCGTGTGTGTGTGTGTGTGTGTGTGTGTGTGTGTGTGTGTGTCCCCTTGCACTGCTTATGAATTTTTCTCTTTGTTATGGTATTTTCTTGCATTTTAGCTGTAAAGTGCCCAAAGTTATTAGGAGTCAAGTAGTCTCTAAATTGTTTAACTAAATCAATTGATACATTGTGCTGTGGGTATCCATAGTCCAACAGAAAACAGTAAGTTTCCAACTTTTCCTTCTTAACAGCCATAATTGGTTCCAATGGGGCAATTCTGCTTAGGGATTTACTTGGTCCTATGCTTGGTTTTTCACTCTGCCAGCAAGAAGATAGGAACTAGGTGATAAAAGAAGCTATAAGAAGAACATAGGAATAAATGATAAATCTGGTACTTTGTAGGTCTGGGAATGGGGAGAATTATGTCCCCCCCCCTTTTTTTTTTAAAAAAAAAAAAAAAAAACCAGCCGAGATTCACAGATGCACTCTTTCCACATGGCAATCTTATTCAGAAAACTTCACTCAGAATTTCCCTTTTGTTCTGGAAACAGCAAACTAGTTGAAAGCCTGATGAATACGGGACTGCTAGGAATAAGAGATGTATCAGTCTGATTAGTGATACTTCCACAGATGCTGAAAGACCTTTATAATATTGTTCCATATGTAATACATATTATGTATTCTATTGCTCTGTAGGACAAAGTGGATCTTGGCGAGTTGATGTTTTCGCTTTGCTATCTTCCAACAGCTGGCAGACTAACCATAACTATAATAAAAGCAAGAAATTTAAAAGCAATGGACATAACAGGAGCATCAGGTAGGAATATCTTTCACAGTGGCCTAAGGTTATATTTGTACGTGTGTGAGAGATAGGCAACTATATAAATTAAATATTATAAATAACAAAAATATTATTGGCATGTGTGTGGCGGGGATAAATGTATACCTTCCTAATCTTAAATTGCTTAGAAGTTAGTTGTATAAAAAGTCTGATAAATAAAATGAGATAGTGAACTTTTTAGGGGTTTTTTTTTCTCTTCAATTGGGGTACAGGAGAACTGCAGTTTATTTTCAGTCCTTGAAACCTGAGTGAGTCTGAAAAATGTCAATTCCAACATGTTAACTCTCTCACCCCCTGGATTTGCTGTGTTTCTGTTTTGCCTTAATATTTTTTCCTATCCCCCTTTGAGATATGACAGTTATTGGCTAAAGAAACCCAAAGAGGAGAGTGGTCCTGTCCAAAAATTTGATTACTATATCACATTTGCCTTTGGTACTAAATTCAATTATTTGGGGGGGGGAGGAGAAGAGATTTTAAAAAATGAATTCTACCCTAATAGTAGCAGTAACTTCTAAACGATTTCTGGTGATATTGCTAATGAATATGCAGAACTATCTGCCTTAGGTTGTTTGTGGGTTTGGAATGGATTAATCCTTCTAATAAGAGAGAAGTAATTTAGTTTAGACATTTTGTAAAAGCTCTGTTAAACAGGGGATGGACTGTGTATATTTGTAGGCACATTAATGTTGGAGCCCAGCCCAGTAACAGAGTCACTATTCATTTGGATCTCATGAACACAAGGATGGTCCAAGCTAACCGACTAATGTTCCCCAGGCAGCATGATGACAAGGGAGAGTGGAAAAAGTCAGTTATCCTCCTGGATTACAATACTTCTAAAATAGGCCTGCCTACTAAAAATACATAGCTATAAACAGAACCAGGGTGGATAAAAATCAATGATTTTTTTAAAAAAATCAAAAAAATCAGATTTTTTTTATTTAAATCGGATTTTTTTTATTTAAATCGGATTTTTTTGATTTAAATCGAATTTATTTTAATAAAAAACTTTTGGGGTAAAAATCTATCGTAAGATAGTTTTCTATTTAAGATACATAAATAATTTAGTTTATTCAGCATGAAATGGAGCTTAGTTATGTAGCATGAGGCTGTATATTCTGCAACGCTGGGACTATCGGTGAGTCAACAGTGGGTCAAAGGAGTAGCAGAGATGACAGTTGCTCTTTAAAAATTATGATTTAAATCGAGTTGATTTAAATCAAGCTTTTTTACTAGTGATTTAAATCATGATTTAAATTGTGATTTAAATCAACTCGATTTAAATCAAATTCACCCTGAACAGAACAGCCAAATATTTTTGAATTCTGGCATATTTTTGTTGCATGTTTGCTTATGGCAAACTTCACTGCAAATTCCTCTACCTCTACATTTACACACACACACACACACACACACACATATACAAAAAGTTAGAAGTTGTGATTTAATGATGCGAGTTTGTCCTCAATGTAATGTAAAAATGCTATTCGTTTTACCCCAAGAAACAAATTCTAAAAGAATTTGCAAGGTAATGAATCAAATCTTTTTGTTGTTGTTGTTGATATTACAGTGAGAAGATTATAAAGACAGGGCAGCTAAGTCATGTGAATAGATTGGTCCAACTTTAAAATAAAGCAAAATAAAAGGCTGCGATTGTTATATCTGTTACGCAGATCCATATGTGAAGGTGTCACTAATGTGTGAAGGGAGACGATTAAAGAAAAGGAAGACTTCTATCAAGCGAAACACCCTCAATCCTGTTTACAATGAAGCCATAGTCTTTGATGTCCCTCCAGAAAGCATTGATCAGATTCACTTGTCTATAGCCGTTATGGATTATGACCGGTGAGATATCTGGACAGCTATGAAAAACGATGAGTGGATCTAAATTAGGATGTTTAGCGACAAAGGTGGTATTATGAATTCCTGCTAAAATGGTTTTTAGTGAAAATAAAGTTAACACGTAATAGCTTCCTTCTTTGCTTTTTCTTAACTTCACAGTCTGAGGTAAACATTTTTTTTTCCAAATATTAATCAGATATTACTCCGATTAGCTTTTCCAATCAACTAACTGGCCAATAGAAGACTAGAAACACATGGTTCATTTGTAAGAACTAAATTTCTGAGCTGCAAACTGCACAAGCAGCTTTAGGTGTAAAAGGTGAGTTTTTAAAAATTGAACATTAATTTCAAAGTGAACATTAATAGAAACAGGCAAAGATAGGACATTTCTCCTAACAGGGGAAAAAAATCCTCTACTGGTGTCTTTGGCAGGCTTATACTTTGCAGAACAAATGCTAACTTTGGAGAAGTGATTTTCATTGGGGCTGTTGCAGGAAAGAAAAAGATTATATTTATACTGTTCCCCTACTATGATCTCATTACCATGAACTGCAAAGATATATTTAAGAACCCATCTGCTTCAGCTATTAGATCATTTGGACTGCCTAGTTCCTGAATGCATAATTTTAAGAAATAAATATTATTGAACATTTTCACAGTGTAGGTCACAATGAAGTAATTGGAGTCTGTCAAGTAGGCAACGAAGCAGAAAGTCTTGGGCGAGACCATTGGAATGAAATGCTCTCCTACCCTCGAAAACCCATTGCACGCTGGTATCCGCTTGTGGAGGTAAGACAAACGAGCTTTTACAGGAAGGTGGGTTTTTGCTTAAAAATTTAATTCTTTCTTTCTTTCTTTTCCTTCTTTCTTTTCTTTCTTTCTTTCTTTCCTTCCTTTCTTTCTTTTCCTTTCTTTTCTTTCTTTCCTTCCTTTCTTTTTTCCTTCCTTTCTTTTCCTTTCTTTCCTTTCTCTTTCCTTTCTTTCTTTCCTTTCTTTTTTCTTTCTTTCTTTTCTCTTTTCTTTCTTTCTTTCCTTCCTTCTTTTTTTTCCTTCCTTACTTTCTTTTCCTTTCTTTTTTCTTCCTTCCTTCCTTTCTTCCTTTTCTTTTTCTTTTTTCTTTCTTTCCTTTCTTTTTTCCTTCCTTTCTTTCTTCCTTTCTTTTCTCTTTTCTTTCTTTCCATCCTTTCTTCTCCTTCTTTCTTTTCTCTTTTCTTTCTTTCCTTTCTTTCTTTTCCTTCTTTTTCTCTTTTCTTTCTTTCTTTCCTTCTTTTCTCTTTCTTTCTTCCTTTCCTTTCTTTCTTTTCCTTTCTTTTTTCTTTCTTTCCCTTTTCCTTCCTTTCTTCCTTTCTTTTTCCTTCTTCCATTTTCCTTCTTCCTTTTCTTTCTTTCTTTTTCCTTTTCTTTCTTTCCTTTCTTTCCATTTCCTTTTCTTTCTTTCTTGTTTTCTTTTCTTTGTTTCTTTTTCCTTTTTCTTTCTTTTTTTTTCTGTGGCGGGTGAAGGGGTACTGATGGCTTTGAGTCAGTGTTGATGTATGCTGATTGCCTGGACCCTGCAGTTTCCTTGGCAAGATTTCACTAGCACTGGAATAAAGAATCCATTTGCTTAATGTAAATCCTATTAAAACATTTTGGAATCCCTGAGTTTATATCAAAATTGATGCGCAATGCAAATAAAATCTGCCACCAATTGCCTCTCACCGGCCAGTTCGCTCCCATAGAGAGAGCCTCCTCAGGGTGCCGTCGGCCAGACAATGTCAGCTGGCGACCCCCAGGGGGAGAGCCTTCTCTGTGGTGGCACCTACCCTCTGGAACAATCTACCCCCAGAGATACGAGTGATCCCAGACCTCCAGACTTTTCGTCAGGCCCTTAAAACCTACTTCTTTCAGTTAGCCCGGCTGTCCTGATTTTATGGTGGGTTTTTAAAATTTGAAATTGGTTTTAAATTCAAATGTTTTAAATTATGGGCCAAACTTATTTAATTATTTTAAATCTATTTTAACTTTTGTGTACAAATGTTTTACTTTGGCTGTTCACTGCCCTGAGTCCGAAAGGAGAAGGGCGGTATAGAAATCAAAAAACAAAACAAAACAAAAAAAAATCTGTTCCTCAGTTATTTTCTCTCTTTTTTATACCTTTTTAAAAAATAAAATTCTTCCAAGTTAAGGTAAAATCCAAATAATATACTGGACCTAAGAATACTTTTTTAAAAAAAAAAATCTTAAATTTGGATAGACAACCTCATTCTCATATACTTAAGCTTTTGTTTTAAGGATGGTGCTTTATTTAAGGCACTGGGTTGTATATATGGAAAAACAATTTCAAAAAACCTATTGTTATATTTATACAGAACTAAGGTAAAGTAATTCCACTTCAGTGTCCAGAGCAATGTCAAACTACTTTGACATTAAAAGTAACATAGAGATTAGAACATGCAGTCGAAAGCTCTCCTCAAGTTGCAATCAGATGCCTTTGTGTTTTTTTTGTCTTTATTTAGGGCCCTATTGAGCAGAAATGTTCTGCAGGCCTTCTGCGCATTGATGGCTGCCGAAGAGGCTTCTTCACTCTTTTAACCTATTCAGCAGAAATTTGGCATTCCTGTTGAACCCTTTCTTAGCCACTTTCTCAGGGGCCATTCTGCAGAGAGTCCAAAGGGGTTAAGGCATTCCTTAATTCCATTATCTGATTGTCGCCTTTACCCCAACCCCAGGATTTATAAATTCCAACCCTTAGAATGCAAAACTTTTATTAGTAACAAAGATGCTCCTGAAGCTTTCTACAGTTTTCATTCTAACACAGTTACCTGTGTCTATCAGGAACACCCTTCTATTGTTACTGATGGGCTTTCAAGTAAATTACATAATAAGTCACATTGTCCCAGTCAAGAGGAAAATCCTATTTTTATTATGGATATTATCATAAATACAATCTTGCCCATCCTGAATTACCATGCAATAAGTGTTCTAGAAGTTTCCACAAACCGAACTCTAACTCCTTTCAATAATCAAGGTGAATTGCCTGCCCGTAGCCATACAAAAAACTCAGAAAATAAGACTAGATTTATAAAGTTTCCTTTGAGTCAAGATTGAAATGTCCTTGTAGCTTTCTTGGTGGCAGCATGGATAGTTATAATTATATTGTAATTTATATACAATACAAAATTATAATTAATTGTAACAACTGTTAAGGGTCGTTGCATGGTCAGCCAGATGGTTAGACTGTAAAGCAAGGGAAGGGGTATTTTCCTATATTTTTTCTGATTTTTTTCCTCATTGAAAAATTGGGAATAAGAGTTTACAGTCATAAACATAGTTAGTATTGTATTCTAAAAGCACCCACTAAATATCTATACAGTGAGAAGCCTTTCTCCAGTATCATTAAAGTTATTATCTTGCCACCTTTCCCAAAGCGAAGGAAGGATTTAATACCTTCTTTATATGTTGCCTTTCTTGTTCACTTTTATAGAGGTTGGGAATTTGGCCCTTTCCATCTACCGTAGGGAAAGTAATGGAGTAAGCAGCAAATCATTTATTTTTCTAGAAATAGAAGCTACAAGCTTGTTATCTGGCCTCTTAAAATTTTTTTTGCCCCTGCTATTTTTTTCTAGTTACATAGTACGTATAACCTAGGTTAGCTCAAATAAGCTGGTCTCCCAAATCTTGCATCTCAAGATTTCTGGAGTAGCTATGGGCCTGATGAGAACAAAGCAAGTATAAAGATTTTGAACTCTTTTTCTGGTCCTTTGAGATGATTGCCCTCCAGGTGAACAGAGCAGCACAGAGGAACTATATAGCAATGTTTACCTCTTTACTAAAAGACAAGAGTTCCGAATTCTCTATATTAAACTCTATTTTAAGTATAGGACTATATTTTTGTAAATTATAAATTGAAATCATAAATTATAGTTACATTCCTACTAAATAGATATTTTGTGACAAAAGCACCCACCAAATATGCTTTTAAATTTACAGATCAATCACTTTTCAATGTAATCCAAATCAGGCCATATGGTATAATGTTTTGTTTTCAAAGTAACAAATTGATTATACATCTGTAAAACTTACTTTAAGAAAAAGATTTATTCATTCTCTACCCAACCATCTACAAACTAAAATGTATTTTCCTCTAGTTTCAAACATTTCACAAACCTTTCAATTTTTATTGAGGACTATGAATAATTACATGAAACAATTTTAAATGTATCTCATCATAGACAGGAAGTTTGTAGATTTTGTGGAATGCTTCAAATCATGTTTAGATAAACCATGACAATACAAAACAAATATTATTTAGAGAGGCATAATTGAAGAAATAACAACATATAGTAAACCATCCCTTACAGTTTTCACAAATCTTCTGCAAAGAAACTTATAAACTTTGTTCTTTCATTAGATATTTGTTGGAACAAAAGAAAAAAGGTTTGATTATATGTAGCTGTTATCACTGTCTTTTGTTTGGTTGACTGGTTGGTTGAACTTCCATTTTTCATTGTAACATTGCCTTAAAGGGTTGAAAAATCTGATGTTCAAACCCTCATCCTAGGGGAAAGGTCAATTAATTCAGCTAGTAGATTTTGAAGAAAATGCTGCTACTTAGCAGATATTCCCTGCAGCCTACAACAAATCTCTTAAGCACTTTTTTTACACTGTACTGTATGCAAGATTACTGTCAATCAAAAAGTGGAATGACTGATGAGTTCCTAATGGAAAATGAGTCTTCCCCAATCTGATATCTTTCAGACACATTGAAAATTCTTCAACCAGCATGGCCATTATGGGAATTGAGGACCTGGATTAGGGAAGCTGATGTAGACCAAGACATCTTGATTACAGTATTATTATTATTTTTTTAAATATTCTGGAGTTATGTGGTTTGGTTAATCAGATTTGTAAACCAGTGTTGAGAAAGTCTGATATCACCGATTCATGCCATCACATGCATAACAAAGAAAAGAATCAAAAGAAATGCGACATTGCAAAGAGTTCTGCTCCCGAGGATACAGTCTCATCCCTAAAGATCATAGGCTAAATATCCCATTTTTTGGTTCCATGTTAAGTTCTCAGTTAACAAATCAATTTTGTAGAATAAATGATCTCCAGACCTGTACATGCATGTCTGCACAAAGACAGGCTATTCACCTCCTAAAGATTTGGGTGTAATCAGCCATTTAAAACTCTGCTATATTTTCCAGATGCCTCTGTAAGTGATTGTGGATGCTTATTTGTCAATCAAATTTATATAGTTCCCCCTCTCAGAAATGTGATTCTGGGTGGTACACAAAAAACAGTTAAAAACATTTGTAAGAAGCCATTAAAAATGATTAAACATAAATATAAAAATTGTAAGAGAATAGGCCAACATTCTATATAAATATAACACGTTGCACAGTTCCTGTTTTCCCAAGGCTGCTGGGGAAAAAATCATATTTTAAGAGATTTCTGGGAGGCATCTATCTGAATGACTTAATGTTCTGAGTGATATAATGTTCCAAAGCCACAACAGAGATGGCACCATAATAGACAGTATCCTTTAAATACTTTGCCTGGTGACTTGATGGAGTGGATAGGTATAACCAGGGAGAAGCAGTCCCACAAACAATCTGTTCCAATGCCATGTTATGGTTATATACATAGACAGACACACATACTGTACACATCTGTATTGATGCTGCCATCTCCTTGCTGTACCGCATCATGCATGTCTGTGTTGCCGTCTGGTAACTATGGTACAGTTTTTGAAGACTGAGTACATCTAAACCTTCTGGAAAGGTCTTATGATTTGGGTATATCTAAACTTTCCATATCAGGTTTATAGGAACACATGGAATCTAGCTTGATTACTTTAATGTGGAAACTTAGAACTGGAAGTGCCATAATTCTTCTGAAGGTGTTTTGCAGCAAGTATTATCCAAATTACTCCATTTAAATCTCCAAACAAATTGGTTGAACCTATAAAAATCCAGAGAGAGAGAGAGAGAGAGAGAGAGAGAGAGAGAAATATATAGGAAAATGAAACAAAAGGAACAAAAAAGGACTTTTGAGCAGTTTGCTTGATTCTTTCATTTTTCTATAATCCTAGGTTAACATAACTATATATACTATATAATTATATATAGTAAAACCACAATTTAACTGGTCTTGATTTAATTATGCAGATAACACATACTTGGATTTAATGTACTCTCTTTCATCCAGGATAGCTTCATTAAATTGAGCATTTTACTGTATATTCTCTTTGTTCTACTAAAATTGGTTTAAAAGAAAAATATGGATTAGACATGCTTCCAATTAAACTAACCAAGCATAATAGTGGTTAAAAACAATGAAACAAGAAACCTTATAAAGAATTGTTACTTCTAGCCCTCTTTTTTTGAATCAGAGAATAAAGTAGTTTCCTAGCAATTACAATGAAATAAGTTTTAATTTGGTACTTTGTCATTTGGGAGAGAACTACCTGAATGACACATAATGAAATACCATATAATATAAATGCAAACAAAACAAATCTTTTAATAGTACCTTCAAATTAAATATATGCATTTCGTGATCATGTAGCTTTGTTGTATCTCTCAAGTTCTTTAGATGTGCATCCCAGTCTTGAAGTTTTTAATATCTTCTGACATTGACTTAGTTGCTACATGTGGAACTCCCACATAAATCTCAGATGTAGGAATGTGAGGAGTTTGTGCTACTTGAAAGATACAGCACAGTGTATGAAGCATTACCGAAGAAGATACCTATCAAGCTAATGAGTTACTCTCCATGATAATTATCACCCTCAGCAAATATTATTGCCTTAAATTCAAATAGCTGTCAGTAGAAACAGACTAACAAGGAGCTGGATTTAGACTTGATGTTCTGCAAGAAATAAGTTCATTTGTGCTAAAGATTTAAAGCCACTCATAGGGATCATAATCCCAATGATGCCAAAAGGACAAAATGGGCACTGCAACATTATAATTCAAGCTCTGACCTTTTATTCTCGCATTGCAACATTGCACACATACATATTGGGGCAGAAGCTTGTAGGAAGTTCTGGCGTACATTTGGTTACTCCCCAAGGTTGCCTGTAATGCCTCTGGAGATTCCTAATGACAGAAGAGGCGATTTTTGTTCATTGAATAATATTACTTCTAATCTATTCTTTAAAAAGAAATGATGAATTTCAGTTCTTTACTGTCATCTTTTCAGATTCATATTTGGTCATCAATCCCTTCCAAAAATAATAATAATAAAATATGGAAACTGGCAGTAATAGAAATACACTATATACATTCCTTTAAAATTCAAATTATACCATTAGAGAGGTGTCCAGTAAGTATTATTTCAAATAGCACTTGTAGGAAAGTAAAACAAAATAATTCTAAATTAGGGGAATAGTTTAAGAATGAAGAAATTAGTGGAAAACCTATTTTAGGGACATTTTTCCTCTTTGTGGTTATTTTAGTAATACAACATGTCCCCATTCTTGATGTTACAGCAAAAAGATGGGAAGCCCTTTTTTTAAAAAAAGAATTTGTTCAAAACAAACTGAATTATCCTTGATTTATCACAGCATTATTTCATTCTGATAGAGCAACTTACTATAAAATTATTGAACCTATGAACAAATAAAGGCATCTGATCTGAATGAAATTGTAATGGAAAAATGATTATATCATAAAGTCCATTTTTACAAGGTAGCTTGTCCTATTATTATTTTTTAAAAATATATTAACACAAGAGAGGAAGACCCTAAGATCTATTTTGTTTTGATTCCCACTGTCATTAAACATTGTTCATCAATGTGGAAATCAGCATCATTCTCTGAAAAGCTAATAAACTGTGGCTAACAGATATAAATTCAACTGTGCACATCATTATGTTCAAGCACTGCATTAAGAGATGGCTTCTAATGCAGTGGGTTGGACAAGGAACAGTGGCTGAAAGTACATCCGTGAACTGCAAATTCTTTCCAAGGGCCTCAGTCACCCTGAAATAAAATTGTATAAAGTAAAAAACATTATGATGGGACCCCATTCGGAAAGGATAACAACACGGATGATCACCTCAACATCTAAATGAGCTAACTTAACTTGTTATTGTTCAGGCTTTTCAAGAAGATGGACTGTATAACATTTGGATTCTCGTGTTTCTTTCCCAGTGTTTTCTTTTCCTGTTTTTCTTTGATCAAAACAGAGTGACTACAGGTGACCATTTATCATACGGAAATGTGTTCCCATTGTGTTTGTAGTCATTTGAGAAGCGGGTGGTCTTTTATCACGCTGCAAATAATAATAATTGTACTGCTCAGCAAGCTTTGATCAGAACCCTCTAGAGAGTTTGGAGGGAGGAACAGCTGAAACAGTTTACCCGATGATTGCAAGCACATGGTTTGGTATCTGCACTTCTCATAAATAGTCCACTGTATACACTCATTATTTGGAATGTTTTATTCAGTTGCATGCTGGATACTCATCCTTCATTTTTATTTACTATCTGTCTCCAAAGGTACATAAGCAGAGGTCCTGTTATTTTTAATATGACTTTGCTTTTATGACATACTGACATTGTATTATACTTTGATCTTTGCTGTTCTGTTAGTAGTCTTTGTACATCTGTGTTTAATGTCTAATTTTGGAGCATAAAGTTACATCCTTGTCAGGGCTTTGTCAACTTTGTGGACTTTATTTCTCTTTGTTCAGTAAAAGTAATGCATGATTCATTTGCTGTAACAATTTGAGGGATGAAAATTACATTTCTTAATTTTATAAAAAGTATAACGTTCTTATAAATACAATGAAAATGTATGGTGATTTTATTTATATAGCTCTAGTCTGTATAAGCAATTCTGTTCTTAATAAAAATGATGTTGTGCCATTGTAATTTATGCCTATTTTGTATTTATATATTAAAGTCGATGTGGATATTTAAAAGATGTTCTATGTTTTAATACTTGCTCCTTGATTACCATGTATGGGGTAATTTTCTCTAATGCAAAAGCACAAATTAACGAAGGAAGCAAAACAAGCATGTGCGTTATTCAGCTAGGAGAGGACAATGTAACAAACGATTGCATAGTGCCGTGATGGCGAACATATGTCACGCGTGCCACAGGTGGCACACGGAGCCATATCTGTGGGCACGAGATCGTTGCCCTAGCTCAACTCCAGCTCGCATGTGCACGCCAGCCAGCTGATTTTCGGGCCTTCCAGGCCCATTGGAAGTCAGGAAACAAGCTGTTTCCTGCCTCCAGGGGGTAGGGAAGGCCATTGTCACCCTCCTCAGGCTCCTAGAAAGCCTCTGGAGCCTGGGGAGGGCAAAAAATGGCCCTACCTGGCCCACCATGCCATCGCGTGCCAAAAGCAGGGGTAGCGGGGAGGTCATGAGCGCAGGCACAGGGGCGGGGCGCATTGAATTATGGGTGTGGGCACGCATGCACGTGACCACGCCCCCCACGCTTTTGGCACATGACAGTAAAAAGGTTAGCCATCACTGGCATAGTGAAACGAAAATTGGCAAGATAAAAAGCTGTTTTTGCAGAGTTAAATTGTATTTTCTTAAGCACCAATGAGCAATTTAAGGGCAGTATTGTGATTTGATTTACCTACCATATTTCATTTGAATATAATTTTTCAAAGTGACAGAATATTATTTTCTTGTTTAAATGAGTAAAATTGACTTTCTGTTCATGTTTGACATGTCACTTAGGTAAATTTAGATGTGCTCAGCAAGTGTGATCTTGTACAAAAGAAAAGAAATTGTGAACGACCAAGGTGAATTCTCAGCAAAATCATACAGATTTCTTTTACTGAGAGTTATTGCATTGCATTCACACTGAAAAATACTACTTTAGGATCCTTTCCTTTCCTCCCCTTCCCTTTCCCTTCCCCTTTCCCTTCCCCTTCCCCTTTCCTATTCCATTTATTTGTTTGTTTGTTTGTTTGTTTGTCGAGTACATATTAGATAATATATAAGTATAAGCATGAATTGAATACATAAAATGAATACTTCAAGTTAGTGGTGAAATCCAAATTTTTTTATTACCGGTTCTGTGGGCGTGGTGTGGCTTGATGGGCATGGCAGGGGAAGGATCCTGCAAAATCTCCATTCCCACCCCACTCCAGCAGAAGGATCCTGCAAAATCCCCATTCCCACTCCAGGGGAAGGATCCTGCAAAATCTCCATTCCCACCCCACTCTGGGCCAGCCAGAAGTGGCATTTGCTGGTTTTCAGAACCTGCTGGATTTCACCCCTGCTTTACAGGCATATTTGAACCCTTTAATACTGGGCTTCTCAACCTCAGCTACTTTAAGATGTGTGGACTCCAACTCCCAGAGTTTCCCAGTCCCTTAAAAGTGGGCAAGGTTGAGAAACGCTGCCTTGGAAAAAGAATCCAAGTTGCAAATCAGGCAGGGTGCCTTGAGGAATTAAAATTGTTAAAATGCAATGATAACTATCAACAGCCAACTCTTGCTCATAAAGTAAAACCTTCTAGCAGAGAGATCATTTAAGCTCTCCAGAAACAGCACATCCAAGAGAAGCAATCCTTAGATCCATTTGCACCACTTAAAGATACTAGCTGGTCTCACTCACCTCATAAAATATCCTAAGGAAATCATCCAGATTTAAGGAAAGATCACATGCCCCCCAGAAAGGCAATGAAAAAACCCAGCGCCAAGCTTGCATCCTGCCTCTTGGAAGTACACCCCAAAAGGACAGTGCCAAGAACCACTAAAGCAGGTAAGGAAGACCCCACTTTCCAGATAGAAAAAGCACTTGAGATAAGTCTTAATTACAAAGAAAGCAATTAACTCTAGAATGAAGCAAAGGAGCAAACACAGTAGCTGTTGCTTGTTAAACCAATTACCAGAACAAATAGACAAAGGAATTAGCCAGATTTCTGAAGCTGCTTCTTTTCAGGAACAGAGATTAACATTTTTCCTTCCAAACAAAGCTGAATAGGGAAAATTATCCCATCAATACACACAGGATTAAATGTCACCAAGCACAGAATTAAACTTCACCAAAAACCAGTTTTAGACCAAAAGTCAGAAAGGATATGTAAACTCACGTTTGAATGTCAATCTTTCTAGCTAGCCAAGAAGCCTTGCTGAATGTCACTCATCTTGGTTCCTTGTCACTAAAAGCTTCTTTCCAGCACTTCTGCTTTGTTATTCAATTATTTCTTCAAAGTGCTGATCGTTGCATCCCTGCTGGAAGAACTCCAACAGGAGACTATTTCCTCCCAACAGCAGTGTAAAAAGCTTAAAACAACCCTTCCCCTTTAAGAAAGAAAGAAAAACTCCAGAGAAGCTCCGGAGACAGTAAGTCTAGGCGTACTGCCAAGAATGTAATAAGGGTTAAGGAGAGGCAGTTTCTGTAAGCAGGACAATAAAGATTAGGCTAGAAACAACACCAGAATGTTGTAATTCCTTACAGGATTAACCTTGTAAAGTGGAAAAAAACAAAAGGAGATTTCTTCTAACAACCGGTTCTCAGAACTGCTTAGAAAATTAACTCGATTCTAGCAAACTGGTAGAAACTCACCTCCTGGTTTCAAGCCTTAACTGCTACAGCAAACTGATTTTTTTTATTTGTTTTGCTTTGTTTTAACCCTACAAATTCATTCAGACTATCCTCTAAGTAAATATTTACCAAATTAGACTATAAACATATTTTCTAATATAGACTGACTTGTTCAAAATTCCTATGATGGATGACAGAGAGAAGTACAATATCAGTTGTCTTCCAAAGAAGTTTTCTGAATTGCTCAGTTATTGTCAAAAAAGATAGTAGTTAATGTGCAAGGGCAGGCAGCATAGTTTCTCTATATTCGGTGACTTCCCCACAAACACCCCCAATTGTATGATTTATAAAACTTGTAATCTCAAAATGTTGTAGAACTCCAAGCTACCTACCCATCTGAATTATTAATCACATAAGAATCACATAAGAAACATTTGCTGATAGCCTTCAGAGCTATGGATTTCATATAGGACAAATCAGATTATAGAAACATATAATCAGAAACATCAGGGTTAATGTTAGTCTTAAAAAACTGGACATACTTTGGTTAATCCACTTTGGTGGAAACTTTGCAGCATGCATTTGGAGATTCTCAGTCATCCAGGTCATGGTGCTTTTTCAAGAGGCAACTGGATTTTCTTGTTTTTCTCTGAAGACGTTTCGCTTCTCATCCAAGAAGCTTCTTCAACTCTGACTGGATGGTGGGGAATGGAAGGATTTATATTCCTTGCAGACAGCTAGTCATTTGCATTCTTTTTAGAGAGTCGTTAGGCCACTTGGAGGTTTGCTTGTGACATCAAGGTCACCTGAATAGTGTAAATGGGTGTGGAGTCTATGAGCAATAGTTGGAAAGCCTCATTTGTGCCCATACAGAATGCCTTATTGAATCTAAGTCATTGCTTGGCAGTTTAATTGCACTGCGTTCCCGGGAAAGAATATTAATGGAAACAACCTTAGAACCACTTAGACTCAGTCTTACTGTGCAGGTTTCATCTCACTTTTTTTCCCAACCAGGATCATTATCCAGAGACATTCCCTCATCTATGTGACTAAAATTTTACCTGTTAGTATATAAAACTTCTTTTGCACAGCCATAGATTTGCAATTTTTAATTGTAACATTATTTACTGTGATCGTCAGGTTGAAAGCATCCAGATAGAGTTTGATCATCACCTTATACTTTATGGCTTGACAGTAACAAAATCTATAAACCATTTGTTGCTAAGGTAAAATATAAGGACATAGTTATTTTCTAATTATGAACGTGAAATCACTTCCTGCTCTCTCCAGCCTAAGTCGTTTGTCAATGCCTAATTTATTTCTATTAAAAGACAAAAAGAAAAAAGTTACAAGAGATTCCAGACTCATCCCCAAAGTCAAACAAGTGTAAAGGTTGCAGACTACAGTTAAATGCCATTTTATTGTCATTTATATTGCAAATTGTAATGACATTTTCTTTTATGTATTCTGCATAAATTGTCCAGTGATTCTTTTCTTTCTGTCTCACTCTCCCCTTTTATTTTTTTTCAAAATGATATTTCTGAAGATATCTAAGTGAAGCTTAATATTCTAATTTAGCACAACTAATCTCTGGAGCAGCTAGCAGTTCGTAAATGTCACATCCAATAACCAGAATTGGTTATTAACCAATTATTGGCCAAGTTTGTCCTTTTCATTATTATGGTTTATAAACCATTAGGCAGGGATCACACAGTATACCAAACCAAACCTAAACAAATCTCTTTATAGTTTAGCTATAAAGTTAAGTTGACACACAAGATACTGAAATATTTATTTTACTGGTTATCATTCTCTTGTTCATAAGTAGTTACCACAATTATTGAACCCCATTCAACCTGTTATTATATTATTCTGTTCTATTTACTACTAAGCATAATAGTAATAATACCCGAAGGGAATTTTGGATTTTCTTCTTAGAAATATAAATTCTCTCAGGAATGGAGCAGAGAGATGATAGAGGTCTGGAAAATCAGATGTTTTACTGAATTTCTTCCATTTAGACTTCCCAATTATAGGAAGAGGTACTAAAAATACTAAGAATATGAAAATCAGCAAATAAAGAATACTCGTTGTGTTTAAACAAAATATGGGCTTTGAGTTAAGACTGACAGGAAAAAAATGGGAGAGACTTTAAAAGCCACAGATGACAAAGCATTCCAAATGAAAATTCCCTGTTGTCTAGTTAATATGGCGTAAGGTTATGTTTTTTTGAGAAAATTCTGAAACAATAAGACATCTTTTTCTAATCTGAAATTGCATATACAATGCATGCAGAAAGTATTAAGATCAAGGGTGGGTTCTACTTACCTTTACTACCGGTTCGCAACGGGAGCATA